CCCTTAAGCGAGTTTGTAAACAGTTGACTAGCGATTCTGACGGCCATGAGCTGCGATCTGGTAGGGACTTCCGGCAGGCCCTTCTGGTTCCTGGCTTTTCCAGCCGTTTGACCAAATATCTCCCAATAGACCTGCTCCAGATACCAGGACGATATTGGCTGGCCATGTTCTGGGCTGGCGGTCCAAACAACGAAGAGTTGAATGAGGTCACCTACTACTTGCGCCAATCGGTCACCGCCGCACTCTCCAGCCTCTCAACTCGGCAGCTGGCAGACGTACTGGCTGACCAGCCCCGCATTTCTTCAGGGTCTGGATCGCCATTGGTCTACGATGATCCCTGGAGTGTGGACTGTCCGGCCCTTTTCGCGCTCCGTGAATTTGGCGAGTTGGCTTTGCCAGATGATCAGGAGGAGGATGATGAAGAGGAAGAGAAAGCGGCGTCCGCTGACGGCGCTGACTACGAGGTGCTTGGTGGTGGAGCTGCTGCCAGGTCCGGAGGTGCCGGAACGAACTCGGATGCCAGAGGCAGTGGCAGTGCTGTCGTCGACCTACTCAATCCTCTGGCCAGCTGTCCACGTCGTCGCTTCTGGCATACAGCGACGCAGGCCTCGGACGGAGCCATTTATGTGATCGGCGGCCTCTACACACCCGACCTGCAGTTCGCCTCGGGCCGAATCGAGCGCTTCCGCCTCGCCATGCCTCTTCGCCTCGAGCAGAGCTGTCTCCGTGGTCTGGCCGGCCAGTTGGTAAGCTGGGCGCATTGGAGAGAGTGTGCTCAGGCGCGTTGCCTTCAGGCCGGCGCGGATCTCTCGGCCGCCGCCAGTGACTCGGGCGGGCCCTTTGGCAGAGGTACCAGCGGCACTGGGGCCTCGGCGACAACGCGGCGAATGAAGGGGCTGCTGCGGAGTGCCGCCAACCTGTCGTCCAGATCGCTGTCAGCCTCGGTCTCTTCAAGCAACGTCTTGCTGCAGCATGCTGTTTATCGTCACTTTATTCGGTCCCTTTCGGCCAGGTCCTTACTGCCCAGCTCCTGTTGCCAAGCCAAACATGTGGCAGGTTCCAACACCAAATCGTCACTGGTGAAGCCTCGAGTCTGCCAGATGGAGACGGATGACCAGGATCCTGATTCAAGGATTGAGGACGGAA